AATATAATAGCATGAAACAATCAAAAATTATAGATACATTGGAGACATATCAGGTACTTAAATGAACCGTTCTTTGATGACCCCACATGATGGAAGTGAAGGAAATATGCCCTAGAGGTAATAATAAAGTTGTTATTTTATATTTCCTTATTCATGATAAAAGATTATTATTTATGCTATAATTGTATTGATTGGAAACTTAGATACATGTGTGGATATATAAACAAATACCGTGTCCCTAGTGAGCCTCTACTAGACTAACTCGTTGATCAAAGATGGTTAAGGTTTCCTAACCATAGACATGTGTTGTCACTTGGTAACAGGATCACATCATTAGGAGAATGATGTGATGGACAAGACCCATCCGTTAGCTTAGCATTTGATCATTCAGTTTATTGTTATTGCTTTCTTAATGTCAAATACATATTCCTTAGACTATGAGATTATGCAACTTCTGGATACCGGAGGAATGCCTTGTGTGCTATCAAACATCACAAACGTAAGTGGGTGATCATAAAGATGCTCTACAGGTATCTCCGAAGGTGTTTGTTGAGTTGGCATAGATCGAGATTAGGATTTGTCACTCCATATATCAGAGAGGTATCTCTAGGCCCACTCGGTAATACACATCACAAGAAGCTTGCAAGCAAAGTGACTAAGGAGTTAGTTACGAGATGATGTATTACCGAACAAGTAAAGAGACTTGCCGGTAACGAGATTGAACTAGGTATGAAGATACCGACGATCGAATCTCGGGCAAGTAACATACCGACGGACAAAGGGAATTACGTATGTTGTCATAAGGTTCGACCGATAAAGCTCTTCATGGAATATGTAGGAGCCAAAATGGGCGTTTAGGTTCCGCTGTTGGTTATTAACCGGAGAGGTGTCTCGGTCATGTCTACATAGTTCTCGAACCCGTAGGATCCGCATGCTTAACGTTCATTGACGATATGGTGTTATATGAGTTACTCCCTCTGTTCACTTTTATAAGACCTTGAAGAGATTTCAGACAATGTGCAAAACAGCCTATTTTGGGTTGTCTGAAACGACTTACAAAAGTGAACGGAGGGAGTATATGATTTGGTGACCAAATATTGTTCGAAGTCCCAGATGAGATCACAGACATGACGAGGAGCTCCGGAATGGTCCGGAGGTAAATATTGATATATAAGACGATGATATTCAGACACCGAAAGAGTTTCGTAGTGCACCGGGTAGTCATCGGATCATCGGAAGGGGTTCCGGGCACCCCCGGGAGGATGATGGGCCTATTGGGCCATTAGAGGGGAGCACACCAGCCCACAAGGGGCTGGTGCACCCCCCTATGGCAGCCGGCCTATGGGAGAAAGGCAGGAGGGGGATTCGGCCTCCCCCTTCCTTCCCTCTCCCCACTTTCCTTTCCCCCTCCGGCATATATGGTAAGGGGGGCGGCCAAGGCAAGAGCCCAAGTAGGATTCGGCCCTACTACTTGGGGCGCCTCCTGGCTACTCCCCTCTTCCCCCCACCTATATATATGTGGGAGGGGGCGCCACACATAACCACGACAATCTCTTAGCTATGTGAGGTGTCCCTCTTCATAGTTTTGTCCCTCGGTCATATTTTCGTAATGCTTAGGCGAACCCTGCGGAGATAGCATCACCACCTCTATCACCACGCTGGCGTGCTACCGGAACTCATCCACTACTTCGTCGTCTTGTTGGATCAAGAAGGCGAGGACGTCACCGAGCTGAACGTATGCTGAACGCGGAGGTGTCGTACGTTCGGTACTCGATCGGTTGGATCACGAACAAGTTCAACTACATCAACCGCATTACTAAAAGCTTCCACTTACGGTCTACGGGGGTACGTAAAAAAACTCTTCCCTCTAGTTACTATGCATCTCCATAGATAGATCTTGTGTGTGCGTAGAATTTTTATGTTTTCCATGCAACGTTTCCCAACAAGAAGGCTTATATATTTTGCACTCAGTGACTCATTTGGAACTTGTAGTACGTTCTTAACTTCCAACCTCACACTTTTTCGGACAGCCCAAACTGAAATAGATCAAAGATTTCTCATTGTTTATGTGTTCTCCAGAAGCCTGACAATACCTATTCAACAAGTTTACCTCATTAGCCCCAGTTAGACTAGCTTTAAAAACACGAGGCTATCATCAGTGAATATAATAAATGGTTAGCCGGTGGCGTCAATGGGGCCATCCGAATGCCAGTAAGGTTGGATGACTCATCGATAAATTTTAAGAGGCACGAAGGGCCCTCTGCTACAATCAAGAATAGATATGGAAAAATTGGGTTCCCTGTCGAATACCATGTGATGGTGTAAACTATTGTAGCTTCTTCCCATTGAATAAAACTGAGAGCTTAACTGATATCGCCAGACTCAAGACTATATTAACCCACCTCATTGTGAAGCCGAGCTTTATCATTATTGCATGTAAATAGTCCCACTCCACTCTATCATAGGCTTTCATCATATCCAACTTGAGTTCACAAAACCTATTTCTCTTGGCCCTATTTCTTTTCATAAAATGAAGACATTCATAAGCAATGATTATGTTATCCATGATAAGTCTACCTGGAACAAAAGTTGGCTGCTCATCAGACATGCATGATGTCAAGTAGAACTTGCTTCAATCTGTTTGATATGACTTTGGAAACAATCTTGCATAAAACATTACATAGAGAAATTGGCCTGATCTGAGACAATAATGTGGGGTTCTTTACCTTTGGTATTAGCACTAAAATAGTCTCATTAATGCTCTTCACTAGCTCAGTTCCATTAATAATTCGAAGTATCACTGTTCTGACAACAGTCCCACAAACATCCCAGTGACGCTGAAAGAAGTGGCTGAGAACCTATCTGGACCTGGTGCTTCTGTTGGGAACATCTGGAACATGGCTACCTTAATCTCCTCCTGAGTGTACTTTGCATTAAGAATATCATTCATCGCCGGAGTAACCTTCCCTGGAACTGTATTTAGAACTTGATCAATATCAGTCACACCTCCAGAGGTGTAGAGTGTGCAGTAAAAAATCGTGACCATCTCTTCCATCTCCGTGTTGTCCTCAGTTACACTGACATCCGGTCTTTGGAGAAACTTAATTTGATTTTTCCTGCAGCGCTGGCTCGCCCTTGGATGGAGAAAATAGGTGTTTTTATCACTGTGAGCAAGCCATTCGATGCAAGCACGCTGATCAGGGACGCGGCGGAGCTCAAGGGCGTGGTGGACCTCGAGCACGGGGACGTGGCAGAGCTCAAGGGCGTGGCAGACCTCGAGCACTGGGACGCGGCGGCCAGGACGGGCTCCCGCAGGGGAGCTCGGGGGCGCGGCGGCCGGGAGGGGGTCCTACAGCGGAGCTTGGGGGCGCGGCGGCCCGGACGGGCTCCTGCGGCGAAGCTCGGGGACGTGGAGGCCGGAATGGGCTTGCGCGGTGGACCTCGAGCACGGGGACGCGGCGTCTGGGACGGGTTGGTGCGGTGGAGCTCAGGAGCGTGGCGGCCAGGACGGGCTCCTACGACAGAGCTCGGGGCACAGCGGACCTTGAGCACGGGGACGCAACGGCCAGGACGGGCTCCTGCAGTGGACGCAGCCGGCCAAGCTAGGGCGGAAGTTTCACTCCCGCCAACTGCTTCTGTGCGATACAGGAATCCACAAAAACAGGTCTGATTTCCGCATATATAGAGGAAATGGCCCAAACTATGCGGGATTCCAAAAAAAAATAGGGGACGGATGATTTTGCTGGATATGTTTTAGGCAAAAAAAACGCACTCGTCCGCTATATTGGTTGTTATTATTTCAAATGACCCGATTTACAAGATCTGCTAGAGATGCTCTAGTCACTTAGAACACATATACAACTTTGCAGGCGAAATTAGTGCCTCTTCGCTGAAAGATCATGGTCATTACCGCTTCTTTCAGATCGGCGGCGTCAGTTTCAAAAATTACACTACCCATTCCAGCTTCCGTGGCAAAACCGAGGAAACACAACCATCGACTGCTGGGGCAGACTTTTCGCATGATATTATTCAAGTTTATATATTGCATAAAACACGATATGCATGGTTCCGTCATCAGTTTGACACGCGAACCTGAAACGAAACCATGCACCTGAAGAAGAACCCCTTGCTCGCGCACAAAATTCACAAAGCCCCACTCCCAACATGCCTCAAAACTGCAGTTCAAACCTGCCCGTTACAGCAAAAGAATGAGTAGTGCACCCGCAAAAAAAAATAGAGTAGTGAACAGCAAGGCTAACTGAGAGGTGAGAAAGCGCATAAGCTTGAGTAAGGACATTTTTTACTTGACCACCGTATGATGGAGTAAATATAGGGAGAAGAAGAAGCGGAGGAAGCGGAGAGGAAGAGGAGACGAAGTGAGATTTTTTTTACTCGACCACCGTATAATGGAGTAAATATAGGGAGGCGTGGCGCGGCTGAGGATAATTTATCCTCCACTAGCGTTGATTGGGGATCGGCTAGGTGCCGGTTAGAGAAGTAAAACCGGGTTTTTACTCCTCTAACTGGTTATTGAGGATCGGTTAGAAATCCCCTAAGCCCTTATGCTAGCATAAACACATCTTTTATAAGGTCTAAACACATGTCTTATATGCGCATAAGCTTGAGTAAGCCCTCAAGGATGAACTAACTGCAAAATCCTCAGTGCTCCGGCTACCGTGACCATCTCCTACATAACTGCAAATGAGCCACTGTTCTGTTCTCTACTCGAAGAGCAAATTTTCGGAACAAGCTGAGAGCTTGCTTAAAATAAATTGAAACAACATTTTCATGCATGCTGAGCTAAGAGGCTAAAAATTGGCTCCGACAACTCCATATTCCAATTACATCTGACATGGTTATACTACAACTATATCAAAGGTTCAAAATTTCTTTGGGCTAGACCTATATAAAAGTCAAGGCATCTTATAGGGGAAGCTACCACGGCGAGCAGTAATAACCATGCATCAAGCAGGTCATGAATAGACCATGCATCAAGCAGGTCACGAATAGAACATACTAGGCACAACCCATGTAGGTTGCATCATACTGGCACGGCCTCTGCAGATAAAGATTGTTGGAGTAGAGGCATTTCCCTGCAGTGGCTTGTCCAGCTCAAAATTGATCCAATTATTAGAATCATGGAAATAGAAGTATATAGAATTGCTCCTCCCTCCCCATCTCTCTGGGTTCATGCAACACAATGGCTGGCTTCTGTCGTCTGTGCTGATGAAGATTGCCCAATTTTCTAGCTTTTCCACCTTCATCCACTTTGCAGGTTCACTCGTTAGGTCGAGGCGGAAAGCTTCAAACGTATCCCCTGTTGATGGAAAAGATCGATGACAACCAACCAGGAGAAGCATATCGCCGCACGCAACAAGCCATGGGTGGGGAAGATGCCATTTGTTGTGCATGCTTTCACCAGGATCAACTGTTATTTTCTGTATTCGGATCCGTGGTACCAAGTTCATGATAATGAGCCTGCAGTCATTATCCATGCCAAATATTTGTCCTTTGAAAACCATGACCTTCTCGATCGTTCCATTGTGAAGAGAACGTCTCAACCAAGATTTACTACCAACACGCCAAAAGAAATAGTGGCGTCCTTTGGTGACCATGAGATATGAGTTGGGTGACGTCAGAGGAGCCGTGAGGGAAGCATGGTCCAGGAAAGTGTTTTCATCGACCGGTAGTTTCGGAGTTGAGAAACTAACACCAGTAAAGACATCAATAACAAGACATGATTGATTTTGGTTAAACAAGATGAGATGACCATAGGAAACACCCCCAAAATAAGAACTATCTAGAGGACTTTGTGGGGATTTGCTCTCACCAAAAGGAGAAAACCGGGGAATCTGACAACGCATGTAGGTACCTTGGTTGGCTAAATCAGTGACATGGCATGAATGTGTAGGCACGAGGCTGTTGCTAAATGGGCGAGGACGAGGAGGGCACTCATGAACATCAGGTTGGAGGAGGAGAGGTGGCAACATTTGCAAGAGTGTGTGTTTGGATGGATAGGAGGAGAAGGCAGCACGCCAAGAGGAGCAGGCGGCAGCAAAAGCAAGAAGGTCAAGGAAGGATCCCAATCGAGGAACAATGGAATGAAGCAGGTCATCCGGGAGGTCTGGCCAACCTTGAAGAGTGGACATAGCTGAGAGCCTCAGACGGGACAGACCCAAACACAGCAGACCTTGGAGTTACCCGCGACTGCAGCTTCTCTGAAAGAAATTTTGAATCAAAAGAAAAAACATTAGAAGAATGACGTGAACATTTGAAAAGGCAACAGGTAGAGAAGCGATAACATATATGCGCTCTGACATGAAAAACAATATGCTGCTGACAATTACATCGAAAATCAAATGGGGTAAATATTTATAACATTGCCTCAGTCTGTCATGTCCCTAAGCTACCATTGATTACTTGAAGGCAATGGAAAACACATCCATCTGTATATATAGACCAAAGAGAACAGCTATACAGTTCTATCTGTATCTGATAGAGGTAGTCTTAGTCATAGAGGATCAATGGATCCCATGATTCCCAATTTACCATCGATCCAATATCTAGGGCCCATAGCAGTATGTTCAAAATTCTTTCTTACATACAGAAAATAAATCAAGTGGGAGTCTAAATATCTAATCTAGCCCGGCCCTATCAAAGTGGCAACGCGATCTGGAACTCTTTCTCGCAGCAATTAATGGTGGCAAGACGTATGGACTGTACTACAAAGTAGAGAACAGCTGCGGCTCTATCTCTAATAATAACAAAGTTCAGCCAGCGTATCAATCGATCAGGACGATGAAACGTTGACGCAAGCAACAAATTCTAATGGAAAAAAAATCAAGTGGGGATCAAGAAACAAACAAGGGGAAAGCTAGCATGCCTTGTAGAGAAGGCGTGCGTTGGAGACGACGGCGACGGCGATGCGGTCGGCGGCGGTGCTTCGCATGCGTCCTTCTCCGGCGGCAGCTTGAAAACGAGGCGGAGCGACGGCGGAACGGGTGTGGTGGGGGGTTGGCGCTGTTGGTTGGACTGGGCTGAAGCCTCGGCATACAAGCGGGCCAAGCATATACTAATATTCTTGGACTTTGCTTTCTGTTTTTTTTTCCTAAAATATTAGAAATTGCATTTTTCACTTTCACTTTTTTTTTCCGAACAGAGCCAAATAGAGCGGCCGCGTGTTTTCCTGTTTCCAGTTTTCAGTTTCTTAGCTTCAAAAAAAAAGTTTTCACTTTCTCTGTTTATTTGTCTCAAAAAAAACTTTCTCTATTTATTTGCCTAAACCAAATTTTCTCTGTTTATTATTTTTCCTTTTACACTTTAGTCCTTAAACATTTCAGGTTTTATAACGTATCTTTTCTTTTGTTCCTCCGATCCGTCTTCCTCCCCTCCCCCCTCGCACCATCACCGTCTGTCTTGTTTCACCCGGCGCCGCCCCTCGTGTCGGTCCTGGCTTCATGTCCGGATGTTGTTTCTCCACCTCCTCTCCTCCGTCGGTCATCTTATCCTATGCTCTGCAGCTATTGTGTTTTACGTCGGTTAGCATCGACTGTCCTCTTTGTTGTTCAATGTTTTCAGTTTCTTTTCCCCGTCATATTTCTGAGTGATGGAGTTTTATGGGATAATTACGGGTGGGGGCTCCAAGTACTACTAAAACGACAGCTTTCAACTCGTTAAAACAATATATTTATTGAACAAATTCTTAGTAAATCTATCATTATACAACATATTTATTGAAGCAACATATTGCTTTGCAGCTATGTCTTGACCTTCTTGCTGCATGGCAACTAGCCCTTGTCCCCTTGGTTATGTTTGTCCAGGTCAGTTCACTATTATCTAGGATTCCTTTCATAAAACTTTATTTACTCCAAAGGACGTCACTGCGGAATACCGAGAAAATTTAGTGCACGAACGCGGTAAAACTCCTCAAAGCCTAACATGTAGGCACAACATAACTATCAAAATTATCACATAAATTGGACTAATCAACTCCCCCAAGATAAAAGGTTTGCTCGCCCCGAGCAAATGTCGCAGCTTGTAAGAAAGAGGTCATCTTTATTATGAGCTGCGGATAATTGAAATGAATGACTCCAATACACAATTCCAGAATTTGCCTCGTATGAGCAATCTTGTTGTGCACTATCATATTTCCATCCTAATTAGACGAGCATTAAGGTTTCCACACCTTACTATCAATCAGTAAAGAGACGTGTTCCAACTCTATGTGATAATTCACCCCGTCTTTCAGACGAATAATTGAGATGCTTTATTTCTTAAGAGGTAGTAGAACCATATCGAAAACAATGTTAGTTTCACTTTAATTCGGCCTATCCTTGACTGGATCAAAATCTGTGTCTTTTTTTTGTGAGGAAGTGAAAAGGTCCATTTGTTAAGAGAACTTTTGAAAGGGTTGAAATTCAAATGTTAGCCAGCTCATGGAGGCCTTGGGCACACATCATCAGAGAGGATAAAAATTATGTCCCTGTAGCAAAATAACAACTTTTTTTAGGGGAAGCAAAATAGCAGCTGACAAAGTAGTAGCATAAGATGATTGTAAGATTTTTTTTTCTCTCTCTCACGTCACTACAAGTTAGCGAGCTTTTATATTGAGCAATGTGCAACTCTATAACCATTTGATTTAACTGAACTAAAAAAATTGACATCACCAAATTTTAGAACATACTTCGTCCGCTCCTAAATACATGACGTTTTGGTAGTTCAAATTAAACTACCAAACATCATCTACTTATTTAGGAACGGAGGGAGTACAGTGTATCTGATTACAAAAATAACACATAAATTCAGAGAACGTTTCTGGGTAACCAACTATTATTACAGAAAAGATCACTTCCGGCTTCCTTTTCATCATGAAGCCCATGATCAGGGGAACCGGATCCTCTAACATTGAGAAGGAAAGTTAGAGAAGGTACAATGCGCTAACTTTTCTTCTTTATATTCATATGATTATGGCTAAAATGATTTAAATTAATTTGCAAATTGATGATCTATTGTGTACATTTATATTAATTACATACTTCCTCCATTCCAAAATATAGTGCGCCCGCGCTTTCCGAGATCTAACTTTGACCATAAATTTAACCAACGAAACCAACTACGGCAGGAGAAAAAATTATATAATTGAAAACTTCTTTCGAATACGAATTCACTGATATAATTTTTGCTCCCGCCGCAATCGGTCTTGTTAGTTAAATTTACGGTCAAAGTTGAAGCACAAGAATAAAGGAAGCACTACATTGTGAAATGGAGGGAGTACAAACAAATTGATGGTGAAATAAAATTAAAATTAAATTATTTATATCTACAGTAAATACCAAGAGTAAACAACCTACTAACTATACCTAATAACAGTCCCTAACTTTTTTTCTTTATTTTACACTAGGCAAACACGGTAGCACGATGACTTTCCTTGGCAATGTTAGAGGATCTGGTTCCATGATCAGGCGCCAAGTACAGCATTCCAACGCCAAGAGTAGGGAGTAGGATCATGATGCATCAGAGATAAACTTCAGCTACTCCAGCTGGCATGTAGGGAGTAGGATCTAAACAGCAGCACCTCTTCAGATGGAGTCAGTTGGACCGCCATCCCCTTCCACCTCGTTGACATACGGCTGCAGAGGAGCTATGTTTGGGAACAGACAGCACAACGAAATAGAAACAGAGTCCCCTACCTATTTCGATCTCTGTGCGCGCATGGTATGAAAATCCAAACGAAAATTACCGCAACTAACTTCCTCTGCTGAGAAATTTTTTAGTGGCATAACAAGTTGGTGGTGACCAGATTCAAATAGAAGAAACCAACAATCCCATTGCATTCATATTTATCTCCTTCCACAAACAACACACGCACTCTGACGAACTAACTGCATTCAGATCCATCGCCATCCACTAACTACACAGACCGACGGAACAACAACGCACGCACTCTGAATTCAGAAACGAAACCACAGCACCAGAACAGCAGCAGCAGCTAGCAGAGTCAGAGTCGATGGAGATTGGAGCAGAGGGCGCAGGTCAGCCGCCGAATCCGTAGAGAGTGCGGCCCTGGCGCTTGAGCGCGTAGACGACGTCCATGGCGGTGACGGTCTTGCGGCGGGCGTGCTCGGTGTAGGTGACGGCGTCGCGGATGACGTTCTCCAGGAAGATCTTGAGCACGCCCCGGGTCTCCTCGTAGATGAGCCCCGAGATGCGCTTCACGCCGCCCCGTCGCGCCAGCCGCCGGATGGCCGGCTTGGTGATGCCCTGGATGTTGTCGCGGAGCACCTTCCGGTGGCGCTTGGCGCCGCCCTTGCCCAGCCCCTTCCCTCCCTTGCCGCGGCCGGACATCTTCGCTGCTGTGTGTGTGTTGCTGCTGGTGGTTGTTGCGGCGGTGTGGTGGCGAGGTGAGGCGGATGGAGCTCGGGCGTGGGGGATTTATAGATGCGAGGTTTCCGGCGATGAGAAGGGCGCGATCCGCGTGATGCGTGGTGTGGACCGTCGGATGGGTGATGGATGGCTGTGAGTGGGGGAGGAGGGGTGGCGCGGATCGGTGACATGGCGGGAGCGGGGACGTGCGCGGGAGGAGGTGTGCTTTCTCAGGATGGTCGGGGTGACTTGTTTTTCTTCTTTTTGTTAACAACTCGGGGTGGGCTTTTTTTAGAAGGAACTCGGGGTGGACCTGTGTGTACTAACTAGTACGTCCTTTTGGGCCTTGGAAGCATCTTCGGGCTCGTTTACGTGTATTGGCCCAGGCAGTTCCAGGACAGTTTTTAAGTGTTTTATATGACTTGCCTTGTTCACCACACTTCATATTTTGTTCCATGTGACGATATTATTCCGTGTTTGAGCTCATTTTCTATGGAAACACGTTAAACAACGGATTTTCTCAATTTCTTGCACCCATTAGTCATTAATAGCAATATTGCAGTGATTTTTCGATAATTTTGGGATTATCTGGTTTAAACACTGGTGGAATGAGCACAAAAATGTTGCTATCACACATGTGTGTGTAGCGCTAAATACTCTCCCGATGGAAATAATTCGGAAGCTGGCCCGACGAAGGGATTATCCTTCACTTGGCTGAGTATTGTTGAGGGTATTAAAACTTTCAAAAGGGGTTGTATATAGCGCGTGGGGACATGTTCACAAATAA